GTCTTTACGTTTATACGCATATTTAGTTTAATTGCATTATTTTTACATAAACCATAAAAATCACAAAAACATCCGTACGAAACCTAACCATTCTCGAGCCCGAGAAAGTGAAAGAATCTAGGCCAAGAAGAGGTTCCTTGCTTGGTCGATCAATCGTTTGCTCAGAAGTTAGAAGCGCAACACATCCATCTATTCTCATTCCGTTCAAGCCCAATTTCGGGGCTTGGTGGTGGCACGCCCCGCATCCAAAAGAAGAAGGACCAAAAGTTCCTTCCGTCGGCCGCCTCGGCCGAAAAGAGGGTAACAGGTTGTTAGATGTGGGATATTTTGTTGCTTATTTTTCTGATTACTTGTTTCTTGTATGGCTATTTATGCCAGTCTTTGGAGTCAATGAAAAGTGAACATTCTCTCAGACTTTTGCACTCTTTAGCTTTCGAATTTCTAGTTCTTAACAATTGGTATCAGAGCCCCCCACTGGGGACTAGTTTGAAAAAGCAGCAGCTTTCATCTTGCAGCAGCAAGACTCAATGGCACCTGAAAACAATTTTGTGCAACCTGTGATTCCACGCTTTGACGGTCACTATGATCATTGGAATATGCTAATGGAAAATTTCTTGAGATCCAAGGAGTATTGGACTCTGGTTGAAACCGGCATCGAAGAGCCCACTAGTGGGGCTATCTTGACAGAGACGCAGAGAAAGACATTGGAGGAGCAAAGATTGAAGGATTTGAAGACAAAGAACTACCTATTTCAAGCAATAGATTGTGTCATCCTGGAAACGATCCTCAAGAAGGATACTGCTAAGGATATCTCGGATTCCATGAAGACGAAGTATCAACGTACAGCACAAGTAAAACGTGCCCAACTTCAAGCTCTTCGTAAAGAGTTTGAGATTCTCCACATGAAGGAAGGAGAGTCAGTTAATGATTACTTTGCAAGGACATTGGTGATCGCGAATAAGATGCGTATTCATGGCGAAAAAATGGAAGATGTTGCAGTCATTGAGAAAATTCTTCGCTCAATGACACGCAAATTTGACTATGTGGTGTGTTCCATTGACAGCCTTTCGATTGATGTGTTACAAAGTTCATTGTTGGTTCATGAGCAAAGGAGGACTAGTCGTGTTGTGGAGGAGCAAGCCTTGAAGATCACCACTCATGAAGGAGCAGAGGACACCAGCTTTCCTACAATCAAGGACCACAATTTGACAAGGCAAGTGTGGAATGCTTTCACTGTCACAAGTTTGAGCACTATCAATATGAATGCCCTAACAAAGAGAAGGAAACTAAGGTGAATCTTGCTAAGACCGAAGAAGAAATTCTCTTGATGGCTTACATCGACAAAAAGAAGAACCCATCAGGTGATACTTGGTATTTAGACTCCGGCTGCAGTAATCATATGTGTGGTAATAAACTCTTGTTCTCTGATCTAGATGAAAATTTTAGAGAAAATGTGAAGCTTGGAAATAATTCTAGCATCTGTGTTATGGGTAAAGGGAATATTAAAATTCGGTTGAATGGTAGCATGCAAACAATCACTGGCGTATTTTATGTCCCAGAACTAAAGAGTAATCTGATTAGTCTTGGTCAGCTACAAGAAAAGGGTTTCGCAATCCTTATTCAGAAGGACAACTGTCAAATTCATCATCCGAAGAAGGGGCTTTTTGCACAAGCCCAAATGACAACAAATTGGATGTTCCCTCTATACACACAAATTCCACATGATGATCAAACCTGCTTCACTTCAACCACACAAGACGCAACATGGCTGTGGCACTATCGTTATGGGCACCTAAACTTTAATGGATTGAAGACCTTGGAGCAAAAGAAGATGGTAAGCGGACTGCCTCAAATTCAGACTCCTTCAAAGGTATGCGAGGATTGCATTATTGGAAAGCAGCATCGTGACTCATTTCCAAAAAAGAGTACATGGAGAGCTACAGAAGTACTACAATTGGTTCATTCAGATATATGTGGACCAATTAACCCAACGTCAAACAGCAACAAAAGGTACTTCATTACATTTACTGATGACTTTAGTCGTAAGACATGGATTTATTTTTTTGGGGGAAAATCTGAGGATATTGTTGCATTTAAAAGATTTCGTACACATGTTGAAAAAGAAACTGGAAATTGCATAAAGATTATTCGTACTGATCGTGGCAGTGAATTCACATAACATGAATTTACTAACTTATGTGAAATGAATGGAATTCGTAGACAGCTTACAGCAGCCTATTCACCACAGCAAAACGGGGTGGCAGAGAGGAGAAATCGTACTATTATGAATATGGTACGAAGCATGTTGACAAAGAAAG